GGACAATGTAGAGTTCACAGCGGTAAGCCCTGGCAAGGCCGCTGTCTTGAGGAGTTGGCGATCGGCAGCCGGTCCATGGCGTTGGCGGGCGACGCAGAGAGCGCCGCGGAAAGCGGGGGCAACGTGCGCCGTTGCCACCCTGCCGACCGACAGCGCCTGCGCGACAAGTTCCCAGCGCGCGGCGAGGTCGTGCTGGGGCAGCAGCAGGCAGCTGAAGGACGGCCGCGCGCAGTCAGGCTATTCCAAGCCGACGTTGCAATTCGGGCCGCGCATGCGCGGAGCGCGGGGGCGTCATCACACGGAGCGCCCTGCCGGATCAGCGGCGCTCGCTTTGCGGCGGGAAGCAGCTGGAGGGCGAGGACAGCTGCTCGCCGCTAGATGCGAAATCAAGAATTGGTCGACGCTGCACTTTGGGCTGCGCCAGTACTGGTGGTAAAGGCCTCTCGAGGACGCGATGATGGTCGGACCGTCACCTTGGCATGGAGGCTGATCGCGCCTACAACGACGTCGCGGCGACTCGGCCAATGGCAGATCGGCCGACAGCCGCACCGACGGCCTCATCGATAGCCTCGCAGCTTCGTCGACAGCTCCACCGACAGCGACGCCGCGACGTTGGCGGCGTAGCCGGCGCAATCTCCGAAACGGCTGCGCCGCAGCCTCGCCAACGGCCTCGCATCGACTTCGCCGAGTTCGCCGACGGCGTCGACCGCCGCGGACCAGCCGGGAGCTCGCTGCCCTACGGGAGGGGCAATGGTATGATGGAGCTCCTCGGCCGTGCGGGGGCCGCCGCCGACGGCCGCTGCCGCTGCAGTCGCGGGTTCCGCGTCGCGGGCCCAGCAGGGGCGCGTGCGCCCCCCGCCGCCGGCGCCCCTGGGGCGGCGCGGTTCCCCCCCCCGGGCAGTGGGCTGGGGCCGAGGCGCGCGCCTGCTCGAACGCGAGGTGGGGCGGGGGGGTGTGCGCCAGGGCTGGCTCTTGAGCAGCGACGGCGGACGGCCTGCGCCCTCCTCCGCGGCGCGGGGCGAGCTGCCCCCGCGGCGCCAAGGGGCATTCGGCCCCGCGTGGGCGTTGCGACGGGCGCTCGCGAGGGCCAGGGGCGAGGCGCAGCGCTGGGCACCCCCTGCGGGGGGAGGGTCTGGAGATGGGGGGGGTGGAAGAGTCCTGTCGGCCGGCCAAGAGCCACCGATGACGGATTGCCTCAGAGCCCCCCCCGAGCACGGCCAGTAGCCACCTCCATCGGGCAGGAGGGCGCGGTCGGGGGCGCCGCGGCGACCCCTCCGCGGGCCTGCCCGAGGCCGCGCGCGGACCGCGGGCCTGCGGCGAGACCGCTCGCGAGCGAGCGCCCAAGGCTCAGCCGGGGCGAGGAGGGCATGCAGCCGGGCCAGCAGCACTTGAATTCTACCGTCGAGCAGCGGGGGTCGACGGCGACCCCGCTGTGGGCTTCTCTGACAGCTTCGCTGGCGCCTTGGCTGGGGGGCCCACCGACGGCCTCGCGGGCCGCAGCAGTGCGTCGATCGGAGTCTTCGCAGGAGCTGTTGCGGGGGGCGACTTCCGGAGGGGTCGATGCCGAGACTGAGCGGCGCCTGGTGGCTACATGGCAACGTGGAGGGCTTCTCGGATTGCCGCGAGGAGATTTCCGTGTCCGCCGACCTCGAGACGCGCCGCATCCCCGACCTCTTCGCCCAAGGCGGGCATCGCGCTGGGCCTGGTGATCGCGAAGCCTGGGGCAGGGTGCGAGAACGAGGGGGGCCTGCCCGCGGGCGCGGGGCAGCCGCGGGTGCCTCGTGGCCCAGGTCGCGCTCGTCGGCAGCCCGCCGACCTGTTTCCCGTCCTGGGCCGCGCCTGCGCGAAGGCGCGCCGCTCGAGGGGGGAACTGGCGTGGCCATCGCCCGGAGCTGCGATGCCGACGACGTCGCCGCTTGCGTCGGGGAGAAGATCCAGGGCGAGAGGTGGGCGCCCCGCCGGGCTGGCAGCGCCTGACCTGCGCGGGCAAGCGGCCGAAGGGCGGCCGCGCGCTGCCAGACCGCGTTGGGTCCGCGCTCGCTGACAGCGTCGCCGACGGCTTCGCCGAGAGCTGCTTCGCCGACAGCTGGCGGCCCGCAGCTTTGCCGACGGCTTGGCCGTCAGCCTCGCCGACGGCTTCGCCGACAGCTTCGCCGACCTCTTTAACAGATTCGCCGACGGCAGGCGGCGCGGAAAGCGAGCCTGGCAGGCCCCGTGGTGTGAGCCTCGCGGCTCGTCCTGCCCTGGCCGCGCGGTCGGCCCGGGGCGTCGGCCGCTGGGCGTCCTCCCGCTCGCGTCCGTCGACCGCTCGCCCTGGGGCGCGTCCCGAGCAGGGCTCGGTGGCGGCCCCCGCGCAGAGGGGGGCTCTGAGCCTGGGCGGCGTCCCGGCGTGCTTCCGGGATCGTCTTGAATTTGTACCTTCAGGTGGGCGCCTCCACGGCGGGGGGCTCCTTCCTGCCCGTGGGGCCCGCGGGCCCCCGTCCTTCCGCCGCGGGCCAGGGTCGGGGCTCCAGGCGGGAGGGGTGCCCTAAGCGCGGAGGGCCTTACGGAGGATGGGGAGGGCTTCGAGACGGCGCCCTCGCTGCCCTGGCGCGCGCGCGCGGCGCGGCGCGCGCGGGGGCGGTGGTGCCGTGAGAAACGGGTGCAGAACGGAGAGAGATAAAGGGCCCCCCCCCTCTGGCTGAGGCGCTCCCGCTTGCTCCGGCCACCCGCGCAGGGCGGGCGACCCTCCCCGCGGGGATCGGGCAAAGGGGGGGGGCCCTAGACCGAGGGGGGGCCGCGAAGTTGAATGGGCCTCCGACGCTGGCAGCATCCAGGTGCCCCCCAGGATCCGCCTCCCCGCCTCTGGGTCGCCTCTCCCTGCGTGGTGTCTCACTCCCATCGCGTGGTGGGCGTCGAGTTCCTGGGGGTGGCATGGGCCCTGAGCCAGGGCCCTTGGAACCGCCACCAGAAAAGAGGGAATCTTCGTCGCCTCTCTCACCTTTTTTCGCCATCGCACCGCTAGTACGGTTAATCGAAGTTGCGTCTCCGTGTGCCAACGGGTAAGTGCATCCTCGACCGCCCGACGTCTGATGCAATTTGGGTTTAGGCGTGCGGCCGTTTCTGAACAACCCACCCACCACCCTGGGGCATCGCACCGTTACTAGGGGTCATCGAGGACGCAACTACTTCCCCACCTAGGCTCTGCCTAGAAGGGTTCTTAGTCTCCGGGCCTAAAGGGGCCGGGCAGTGGAAAGCGCCCAGGGCGGTTCCCCCAGTATCCGCCCCGCGGTTCCCCCAGTTGCGTCCCCTTAGCTTAGCGTTGCTTTTCTCATCTTAGCTCAGCATATTCATTTTAGTTTAACTTAGCTTCATCTTAGCTTAGATTTATCATAGCTGCGCTTACCTTCATCTTAACCTCGCTGAGTTTTAGCATAGCAGCGCACAGCATAGCATATCATAGCGTAGCATAGCATAGCGCAGCACAGCATATCATAGCATAGCCCAGCATTTCATAGCATAGCGCAGCATCGCATAGCATAACATATCATAGCGCAGCACAGCACAGCACAGCACAGCATTGCACAGCGCATCATAGCAGAGCATAGCACAGCATAGCAGAGCAGAGCATAGCAGAGCAGCAAAGCAGCAAAACAAAGGCAACTCAACAGCAGCGACAGCAAAACAAAGCACAACCAACACAAAGCAAATCAACACATTAGCATGGGTGTAATTCTCTACCGAGGCTCTGCCTAGAGGGTTAGCTTAGCTTAGCTGAGCTTAGCATAGCGCAGCGCTGCATTAGCATACCGTAGCATGGCATGACATATTCAATCATAGCATAGCATAGCATAGCATAGCATAGCAGAACGCAGCAACACATAACATACCATACCATAGCATAGCATCGTATAACATAGCATAGCATAGCGCAGCTTAGCATACCATATCATATTGTATCATAGCTTATCATAGCACATCGCAACATAACACATCATAGCTTAACCGATCATCGCATAGCATAGCATATCATAGCGCAACATATCATAGCACAGCATAACATAGCATAGCGCATCATATCATGGCATAACATAACATATCATATCATAACACTTGATGCTGCTTTCCTAAGGGGCTCCAACTTCTAGGTAGGGTCGCACTGGGGTAATTTCATATATACTTTGATTTTGAATGATTGTCTCCTTCCAGGGAGGCCTCTGGACCTTTTCTTTGACGCCCTGATCGCATTTGGGGCCTCTGTTGGGTGCCTCTTGAGGCAAGTCCGGGCCATTTTGACGGCTTTCCTGGGTCATCTTGGCGGCCTCGGTGGCATGCCTTAGCCAGATTCGGACCTGCGTTTTACGGACTCCAAGACGACCCAGGATGCCGCCGAGATTACCTTCGACGACCACAGAGACCCCAAAAAAGACAGGCAAAACAATACATCACAAAACTAGATAAGACTTGGTAGGATACGCCAAGACAGCCTCTGGATGGGTCCAAGATGGCCCGATGGCGCCAAGGCGCCCCAAGGGCCGCCCGAAAGACCAACATTTTTCAACAACCAATGGGATATCATTGTCTTTGCCCTATCCCCTATTCGCCCACGTAAGGCTTTTGAGACCTCCAGATGAGTGCAACAACTCCCAAAGAGAGCTCCAAAAGGGCTTTGGGAAGGGGCGCAATACGGCCCCTTAGGCATCACAGAGGGCTCCCAGAGACGGTTTGAAGAGAGGCCCAAGCGGACCCCAGGAGGTCCCAAGCAAAAGGCCAACAACGTCCAGCGTCTTCGGCACCAGAACAGACCCAAGAGGTCCAAAAGAGGTTCCCAAGAGGCTCCCCAAAGGCCCCCAAGCTGGCGCAAAGAGGGCGTCGCTTGGCGAGGGGGAGGCGGCGCGGGGTAGGGGGATGGAGGTGCAAACGCCCCCCCCCCCGAAGGGAAAGAAGGGGCGTCGGAGGAGGAAACGCTTTAGACCACGTGCGCCCAGAGGGCCAGTGGGATTACCATGCAGCAGCGTCAG